ATTTTAATTTTTTTAGAATCAAAACTAATACATACTCAAATCTATATTAATTTGTATAATATAAATTATTAAATTTTGACTTTTTTTGATACATTAAAAAATAAATTATATAATAAAAAATAATACTATTTTTCTTTAATTTCATTTAATATATCTCATAATTTGAATTTAAAATTTTCAACATAAAATCTCGGTGTTTTTTTTGTTGCTTAACATCCGCCAAGTACAGGTACATAAGTAAAGGTGAAGTAATACATTATTTTTCAATTAATGGAGAGAGAGAACGACACCAGACTATTACCAAAAAAAACAAAAAAAAGAAATGCACCAGATTGGTAGGGGAACAGGGTCTGAGGAGGGCTAATTGTCAAATGGAGGGTTCCTCTCGAAGCACAAGTTCCCTGAAGATGGCCTCACATAAACCTTTTTCATGAATCATCAGATGGCCACCATCTGGGACTTCATGGTACTTGATCCAAGGTAGCTTCTTTGCAACGTAGCGCTGCAGTTCAAATGGCACCAGCTTGTCCTCATGACCTTCCCACAAGTAAACAGAGGCCTCATTGTTAGGAAATGGATTTTTCAGCTCCATTGGATCAAAGTCCCACGTCCCAAAATGCACCATCAGGTCCCGGTGAAGGGATTCATGCACACCTTGCTGCCTTATCTTATGCTGCAAGTAGAAACCAGTACCGAAAACATGGTAAAAGAACTTCTGGAAGTTGAATTCATTATTCTGTTTCTATAGAACTTTTGATGAAATAAATAGACAGGGAGAAGAAACTACCTCATCAGGATTAGTTACTTTTGACATTTCCATTACCGTTGCAACATCTCTCTTGTTGAAAAGTATTGGGTGTCTTTGCAAGATGGCACAATAAGGGAACAATTTCTGGGTCATCCACCAGTAAACCAGTCCTGGCACATGGTGTGCTAGACCAAGTTTCACTTGGTCTCTTTTGAGCTGCATCCTGAAGCCCTCGCTTGCCAGCTTGGGAGGAAAAGAAGGCCACCAATAATTGATTACAGGGACTACCAAAGTTGCACCGGCTATCCTGTTGCAATTTGCAAAGAAAGATTTCAAAATTCTATATTTGTTAACTCTGCATACAGACATGAAGAGGGAAAAGAGGTAATGAGCACTTAGGAGAATATGCCTGTGGGGAATGTATTTGAGGCATGCCCAAATGCAGTAATTCCCGATGGAAAGTCCAATCACATAAAACTTTTGTCCTAATTGGAGCTGATCAGCTAGTTCTTGGATATCAAATGCCTCACTCTTCACTGACTTATTTGGGTTTGGATCACTCTCTCCATAGCCAGCTCTGTCAAATGTCAAAACGTATACCCCCATCTCTTCCATCACTTCCTGCATGTCAAAGCCAGACACAATGATACTATTACAGATTAATATTACTTTCAGACCCTCACCTAACAGCTTAAGCTTAATCTTTTAGGCAAAATAGAAATTGTTCTTGCAATATTTGTTTCTGGTACTCTTTTTTCTTTTGGCCAACATTTCTAGTACTCTATAATTGCAGTGTGTTTGTGACTAATCATATTTACTATGTTCTAAAACTAATTTTATTGCATCATCTAGCAGGATCCAGATATCTTATCTGCAAGCTTATATCCAAAATTTATAGGCAAAATTACACCTAGTTCTGTAATTCAACACCGGAAATGAAAAGGAAATGACGAAAAAGAAAGAAGGAAAGAAAGAAAGAGAGAATGAGATTAATTAAGAGTTTTAGATGACAATCATACTTGAGAAAGCGGCAAATGTGTATCTTTGGAGCTGTCAAAGCCATGGACAAGGATGACTTTATATTTAGCTTTTCCTCTGGCAACACCCCTTTCTCTGTAGGATAAATGCCTTCCATCCTTCAGCTTAATTCTGGGCGATGTAACGGGAGGACCATTTGGCGACCCACAAATCTTTGGAGGAGGAGGAATGATGCTCCTATAAGCATACACCAGAAGACAAACCACCAGTACTGTTGCTGCAGCAGCAAACATACTGGAAAAAACGCACAAGGAAACAAAATCAGATGTACTCAGCTGTCCAGGTAATCTAAAGAACAGGCTAAACCATTTAAGACAAAATACTAACAGTCAACATCAAGAAAGAGAGTAGCAGAGATAATAACAACAACAATCATAGAAAACCAAAAGAGCTAACCTGATCAATTGAAAAGTTAGTTAAGTGACAATTAGGAGGACCATATATGTTGCCTAAAATTTATATGCAACATGCGTGGTTTAGTTTGGAGTTAGGTGAAACCACGGACGCAGCGTTTTCCTATTATAAGTTAGGTGCAACAAGCATTCCACTGGAACTGCAATGGTTCTGTTGGGTGTAGTAGTTGGAGTAACTTAGTATCAAAATCTGAACTTTCATTGACGTACTTCAATTTTCCATTGTCAAAATGGAAGGCATATTAATTATAACATCATCCTCAACTTCCAAGCTCTAACACTTGATTCAATCAAACTTTCCATTTCACAATAAGCCAGTTAAAAGAGTGCTAATGACGGGTTTGAAGTGGATTCAGCATCAACTGTTGTTATCTCTTGAGATTCAAAACAAACTTATAAAGATCAAAGTTTTCACAAAGCACTGCAGAAGTTCTTCAAATAAATCCCAATTTGAGAAAAGGAAAGATCCCCAGAAGCTAAAATGAAAAAAGCAAACATATAGACCAAAAATTTCATCAAAAGAGAAGATGAAAGAAGCAGAAGAGAGAAAAACCCATCTAGCGGAAGTAAAAAAGAACTGGATGTGATGAAGTGGAGAGGAACTGGTTGTGGTGTGAGATGCAGTTGATACTTTCCTCTTGATTTGACCCGTCCATCCTTCTTCTTCTTCTTCTTCTTTTTGGAGGAATTGGAAATTTATATATAATATTCAAGTATATATACATTTTTTTGAGGAATTAAAAATTTATATATAATATTCAAGAATAATTTACAGCATGGAGAAAGACCATCCTGAAAGATCAAAGAATGCAGCACATTAGGAGATCAATGTGCCCGGAAACAAGGGCATTGCCCTTTTAAGTGAATATTGAGCCACTCAATCTGCAGCACAACTCCCTTCCCGTTAGACAAAGGAAAACAAAACATCAGGATGGCGATTAGAGAGTCGTCTAATGTACAAAATAACAGATTTAGTCTCCCATCGAAGAGGTTTGTGAGGTTGTTGAAGACATGCAATTAAAACTTGATTGTCAGACTTTAAAATGACATTATGAACCCTCATGTCTCAATTTATATTT